CCTCAACGAATAATAGTCGGAAAATTTTCTCAGACGCTTGAAAACAGAACAAGTAAAACAGTAACGAGCGGTAAGCAATCATTATCACGGACGACTGTATTATGCAAATCGAAAAAGATCGAACAGAAGAAGTCGTCTCAGAAATTAAAACTAGATGATCCAGTTATTTACCCATTTTATGGAGTCGATGACGAACAGTTGACAGATGATTTATCTAATTTCATATTAGAAGAAAGGGAAAATCTTGATGATTCTATTATCGTTTGGCTGAGTTCTCCTGATGATCAAAATATTGAATCGATAACTAAATTACGTACTATTGTTAATCGCGTAAAAACGTTTAGAAATGTGAACACATGCTTAAACTATGTCTACCTGCTTCAAGAAGAAAAGATATTTTTTATCGTATCATCTTCTTTTATTCTTGATGTACTACTATATATTGACGAGCCACCAGAAATTCAATTTGTTTATATATTCGGATCCGTAGATAAGGCGTATGAGAGGAAGTTGAAGAAGAAACATCCAAAAATACGTGGAATTTACCGAGAGATGGAAAGTTTGGCTGTTCAATTGACAAACGATGTCATAACTAATTCAAAAAAGGTAATACATTTAAGTGTATTTACAACAGAAAAGGAAGAAAGTTCGATGAAAAATTTAAAAACAGAAAATCCATCACGAATGTGGTTCAATTTATTAATTGAAATATTACTTCGAATGCCGCAGACAGAAGACGCAAGAAATGAAATGATTGCAGAATGTAAACTTTTCTATGCAGATAATCCAGTTGAATTGAAGAAAATAGATGATTTTCAAACAAATTACACACCAACAAATGCAATCAAATGGTATACCTATGATTGCTTTTTATTTCGCCAGTTTAATAAAGCATGTCGAACGAAAAATATTGATGCATTGTATAATCTTCGTTTCTTCCTCATAGATCTGCAAAATCAGTTACAGAATCTGTTCGAATCACAACTCAATCATATGTCATCAAACTTCACTGTTTATCGTGGTCAACTAATAGCTCCGAGCGAATTACAAAAGTTAAAAGGTAATGTTGGCCAACTTGTATCGATGAATACGTATCTATCAACAACAAAGTCATGTGCAGTAGCCAGTGACTACGCTGGAAATGGTTCCGGCCATCCATTTATTGAATCGGTTGTATTTGAAATAGAAGTGGACGTCAAAAAGGCAATTAAACCATTTGCGAATATTGAACAAGTCAGTATTATGACAGACGAAGGTGAAATATTGTTTTCGATTGGAACAATCTTTAAAATCGAATCGGTCGAAGAAGTGTTGGATAATGTTTGGTTTGTCAAACTCACTTTGAGTAAAGATGAAGACAAAGAATTGAAGTGCTTGGAGGATTATTTCATTAATCAAATAGGTGAAACAAGTGATCTTGAAATATTACGTAACTATTTATTTATCAGTGGAGAACATGATCACGCTAACAAATATTCTAAAACTCAGATAAAATCAATGATTAACGATCTCACAAACGATTTCGGTCCAAGCAAAAAGTATTTTAGTCCATTAGGACCTATGCCTAGTGAAAAGGGTTATACTTCGGCAAAGAAACAACGACAAAAGGAACTTGAAATGAATATCGGATCACTTCCTGCTAATGATCCGCTTATTTTAGAACTTTATAATAATGCTGGTATTTTAAGTAGGGAAATTGGTGATTATTCCGAAGCCCTTATGTACTTTAAAAAAGCTCTTGACTGTCAAAAAGAATGCCTACCCAATGATTCTGTATATAATGCAATTATTTACCAAAATATTGCCGAAGTTTATGAAAGTCAAGGCAAGTACAAGACAGCTTTGAAAAAACTTAGAGTAGCATTACAAATACAAAGAGAAAGTGAATCCTTAGACTATTGCAGTTTAGCTACAACCTATCGACACATGGGTGGGTGTTACGCAATACAAAACAAAGTCAATCTAGCTGTGAGATTTTTCCAGAAAACTATTCAAATGTCTGCCAAATATTTGCCGAAAAATCACCCTACGTTTGCTGAACTCCACTGTGCAATTGGAGCCGTCTACAATGACCATGAACTATATGAAAATGCATTGAAACACTACAGAAAAGCACTATCAATCGCTAAAAAAGCATTACCACCGGACCATCTTGATCTTTTAAGTTATCAAGAACGAATCGATGATCTCAAGGGAGCGTCTTCAGAAGAAAACTTCTACTCAACCCGTTCTGTATGGGACAAACAAATTTTGTATTCGATTCCTTTATCTCAAGTTAAAGGTCTTATTAAACCATACTGAAGTTTTGAGGGATGAACGGTGTGAGTGTAGTTTGTATATCTATGTATCACTCATCCACCTACACTCTCGTTCATGCATTAAAACTATACATGTTTCTTACTTGTAGTACTTTAAATCACTAGACAAAAACTAATAAACTCGAAGAAAAAACCAACTAAAGAGATCTTTAGCTGAATCGAAATGTGTCATAGTTGCTCGCTTCACATCCTCAAGAATCAAAATGGCAAGAAAAGTGTCGATTACCGTTTTATGACGGTTATTACAGTTTGCCGATCAGAAAGGATTGTGATAATTATATAAACGGCATTTTAACCTTTTCTCTAATCTCTGGAACCTTAACTGATTTTGCAATAGTGAA